GGTTCTCCGTAAGGTCATGGTGCCCGAACCCGGCGTAGGGAAACTTGGACCAAATTGGGAAGGACCCTACAGAGTAAAGAAAGCAATCGGGGGGGGCATACGAGCTTGAAACTCTAGAGGGAAAATGAGTACCCCGAGCATGGAACATTGTCAACCTAAGGTGATACTACCTATAGACCGCCAAGTACCCCGAAGCCGAGGTAGAAAACGAACTAGTAGAGGACCGAAATACTGTTTGGCAAAAAACACAGCTCGAAGACAGGACAACCAACACTTGAGCAAAAAGGCCATTTCATTTCAGATAATGAGGTGTACAAAAAAAAAAGGCCATTTCATTTTTTACAAGTCCGGGGCTTCTTCTTCGTTATCAGAAGCCATTTCGACGATACCCGAAGGCCCTGCCTCCCCCTCGGAGTCCGGTTCACCATCCGCAGCGTTGGCCATCTCCTGAGTAATACACGAAGTGGATATGGCTCTGATGTCGAGCTTGGGGTACGTATTCCGGATCATCCACCAGCTTAGCTTGAAACCCCTCATGTAGGAGTCCACCATCAGATCATCAAAGTCCGGCGAAGCAATATAATCACTAACAGCTTTCTTCTTCGCATCTTCGATGCCTTGAGAGAAGATCTGAGTCCTCTCCCTGATATCCTCCTAAAGATACTCGACCTGATGCTGTAGGTCCAGCTTCAATTCCGCCATATGTTTCACAACCACTCCCATAGCCTCAACATCTTTCTGAGACCTCGCCTGCCTAGACCGCGCGAGGCGAGCAGCCTCAGCAGCAGCACGAACAACCTCCTCGGCAGCTCGCGCCTGCCTCAAGCTCCTCTCCACCTGGTTCGCCAAGGCGTGAATAGAAGAATTCACCTATCGAAAGGAAGCAAGTGATCAGAGGAATGAATAGAAGAATAAAAGTCGAAGAACTCTAAAAAAGGGAGATCACTTACCACCATGGCATGGGTAACGGCACGGCAGGTCACTTGGTGCAGAGGAAGATCGGTCCACACCGCGACTTCCTCGGGGAAAATGGCCTCCTTACTCCTCTGAAGAGCGTGAGTAGGCGACAACACACTCCTAAAGTCCCCCGGGGCCCCCGAGCCTGATGGCCCAGCTCGCGTTTGGGCAGACCCGGAGTAGGCGGGAGCCCCCGTGTGAGTAGTTTCGGCGTAAGGAGCCCCCAACGGCTCCTGCATAGGAGGAACCATCTCGGGCTCCGTAGGCTGATCCTCCGCCGAGTAGTCTGGCGCCTCGGGCTCCGCACCCTGGGGTAGCTCGGCGCGAGTTCGCTTAGCCACCCGTTTTCTCCTCTTCATGCCTTGGAACAAGTGCCCACCTTGGGTCCCTCGAGAGTCCATCGCACATGCGAAAAGGAGTTCGGCATCAGTAAAACAAGCAAGAGAAGAGCAAGACAGGATCGCTAGGGGAAGAACCTACCCGAACTCAGGCCAGCAGCAACGAGCTTGGCCTCCGTCAGATACTGTTGACACTTCAGCCCA